CCTGCCTTCACCCTGAGTCAGCTGGGATAGACTCCAGCCCCCCATGACCCTCGTGAGGGTTAAGCGGTGTATAGAAAATGGATGCTTTTGTGTATCTAAATAAAAGATGGTTAATATATTTTTTCCCATCTATTTCAGAGAAAGTGTTTGCATCAAATGGAGTGATATGGTGGTCCTCAACTGGAAAATACTTGACTTATGCCGGGTTTAAAGATACGGAAGTTCAAAAAGTGGAATTTATTGATAATGGATGGATGTATGGACATTGCTTTGAGGGCTTTCTTTGTGATATTTTGCTCTGTTTAACAAGAGAATGTAAGAAACTGTTGTTGGACAACATGATATATTGGGAGGATGTTTTTGGTTTTGTTTTTTTTAGAAGTTTTAGTAAGAAGTTATATGCTAGCAGGTGGTACTTCTCTTTAAAAAAAACTCACAAAAAAATGTAACAGCCATAACAATCCACTAGCACCTGAAACAAGAGCTTTAAACAAGAGTTACAGTGGTAGAGACTGGTAAAAGAAATAAATAAAAAAAGCTTTAAAGCTGCTCTTGACAGAAAGATGTCAGAACGCACGGTGCATCACAGCTCGCTGCATGTGGGGCTGAGACCAGTCACAGTGTCCACGCTGACTCCTGTCTAACAGCTAAAGCAGCCACAATGGGCAGGACAACCTGCATCCTGCCGCGCTGTAAAAACCGTTCAGGATGGGTTCCAGGAAGATGGCAAGGATCCAGGGTGGCCTTTTGCATCCAAATTCCCCAGATTTAAGTCCATTCAGGGATCAGTGGAACGTACTCCAAAACAAGTCTGATCCATGGAGGCCCCACCTCAGCGTGTAGGACTCATAGGATCTGCTGTAAACAGGTTTATGCCGCAGGACACTTTCAGAGGTCTTGTGGAGGTCAGGTGTAAACAGGACAGATCTGTTTTGGTGGCGTGGCAGGACCTACGCAATGTTAAGTGGTTTTACTGTTGTAGCTCATAAGTGCCATTGACTGAATATTATTCAGGGTCTGCAGGGACATATGAAGTCATGGCATATAATAGGGCTGCAGCTATGGACATGTTTATTAATGCAGGATATAAATACGTATATTGATTTTTTGGCATTTCAATACACTTTATGCAAAAATATAATATTGCAATTATCTTAGAATGAGGTGATTTGCTTGTGTCAACTCTTTTTGTTTGTAATTCTCTGTGATCATTTGCCTCACTGTTAATTCGTGTGTGCTTTTCTTTATCCTACACACATAGCTATATATGTGTTTGTGCAGGTATGAGACAGCAGGAGTTAGAGAAAAAGAGACAGAGGGAGAGAGTATGTCTGTGTTTGCACTCGTAAGTCAGCCCACTCAGCTCACTGCGGTGTGACACGAGGATTCAGGTACATCCAGTGCTCTCCAGAACGACTGCTGCAGCTTTGCCAAGATGCTGCAGATACGAACAGCACAAGCAAATACTAAAGGTATCCTGTCAGCGAAAAACTGACAAGAATTATTGTTATGGATATTGTACATTTAAAAGCACTGTGCAGTATTATTATTATTATTATTATTATTATTATTATTATTATTATTATTATTATTATTGACATCTGAACTTTTTTTTAAACTTATGGTCAATCTAACTAGATTTCTTTTTTTTTTTATTTTTTACAGAAACACAGTATAATCATATTTTTCCTTGTTTCTTGCAGTATCTCATTTGTTCAACTTACTGCAGTCATGATGGTTTTTTTTTTTATTTTACACAGTTTGTTTTGTTTTGTTTTTCTTGCCAGCAAGCTCTAGAATAAAATAACATGACACGAATCAGACCCAGACAACTATGTGGAACCCAAGTGGCAAAAG